TACCTTTAAAAATCTGTTGAGAAGACAGACACTGTATTGTAGTGGGAATGCTGCCAAATTGATGACAGTCATTTAAAGAACGGCGTGGGGGGGGGTGTGGAGAAAATGCATTTTATGGCTCGGGAGTGCCCATATGTAGCGCAAGGAAACAGATAAGCTTAGAGAGAATGATATTCCTTTTGTATTCTTCCTCAAATTATTGATATAAACTTGAAGGAAGAGTCATAACACAGCAAATATCACCAAATAAATAGAGCACTGTTCCTTAATATAACTCTGCACAGGCAAATTAACGGGCACGGTGTGTCAAGTAAAAGACCTGTTTGCAGACTCAAGTCAAAGACTGGCTGCACGTACATGCCAGCATGCATATCCTTCTGTTTGTAATCTTTTTACCTAAAGACAGTAAAGAAACATTCGCCATTGTTCCCAGATGATGTTTCTTTGAAGGAGACTTGTTAATGGGTATCTCCAAATTACAGCCCCTTTATTCGGGCTCCAAATTCTTTATGAAACACTTATCCCATAGACGGGCTTCATTACGTTGTGTAAGTTCTGTAAGATACAGATTGCCAGATCAACGGAGCTGCAAATATACAGTTTTGGAAAAGAGTTAAAACATTGGCATCAGAAAGGACACCAGGACACAGAACGAACATTTCTTTAGGCTCTTAATACTGTTCCTAATGAAAACTCGACGGTTTATATTTCCATGAAGGAAAGCAGGAAAGAGCTTAAATACACTGCACAATTCCATGTGTGGGAATAATTTAGGGGTTTTATTAAATTCCAGTTTTGGGGCAGTTCTTCTTGATTTGTATAACCATTTGAAATTCATCACGCCCTGTCCAATTAGAAAACGGACCCACAACAGCCATTTGCTATATGCCAAGTTTACAAAGTACTCTCCAAGAAAATTATGGTCAATTCCTTCATCAAAAGCACCAGAAGATGAAGCCCAAGTGTATGAGACCTTCCCTGGTAAAATGCCTGACAGCTAACAACCCACATTAAAAAAATTCCACGTTTCCAAGAATCCAAATCCATTAAATGCACGATCCTTTTCTCCCCAGGCTTTCTTAACACATCAAAACATGTTTTCCATGACTCTTTATATATTCAGTTGCATTGCATTCCTCACTTAAACTTCCATATTACTTAGCAAACTAACCCAGCAAGCCAGCTGGTTTCAGCAGTAAACATGATTGACCATAAATTTATATACGACATACTCTTCAGATTTATTACTTACAATAAATCTGTCCCATTGACTTAGATAATTTACTGTGCTGGACCAGTTTACCTTTTAAAATATAACTTAATATGGTTAATAAAGCTTACTTTACCCTTTTAAAATAAGTAACAGTTTGCATTGATTTTTTTTTTCCTTCAGATTCTGCTTCTTTCCTTTATTTTTCCTTATAGTTTAATGCTTTCTTGTAAATTTTAAATAAACTTTACATTCATAATGCAATTATATGGACTGCCAAAATTGTAATTTCAGATTGTCATAACATGTTCTGCTACAGGCATTTAACTCCCAGCATTCGTAACTGCTGGACAAGTGCCTGAATGAGACGGAGTAACATCAGAAAAGCAAGAAAAAGCATAAAAAGTTTAAAAAAATCAAAGCAAACTTTCACCAAAAATCAATGTATCTTTTCCCCCCCCAGAAGCTTTGTTAGATGTACATTTTCCCAATGTTTTAGAAGTTACTCTAAGACCTTAAAAGTTAGTTTAAAATGAAACAAAATATAGTATACATATTTTAGACTGTCATTAGTATTTCAGATTTTATAACCCAAGTTGAAAGAGGCAATGAGGAGTGACAGTTAACAAACCTCCAGTACCTGCTTGCTTCAGAAGGTAGGCTCTGAAGACAGCCGTCTAGGAGTCTCTAAATTTCATAGAGTACTTTAGATAGCAGTGTGTTAAAAACAAAATTATAAAGTACCTGTCTTTCAGATGGGTTTGAAGCGCTTTCCTTGGAGTTATCCAAGCTCGAGTAACCTTCACCCACATTTACTTCAGAGTCTTGGGAACTCAGCCTGTGGGCAACTCAGCATCTTGGGGAGGTTTTTGTACACCAATCCCCCTCACATGGTCTGATTTCCAGATAATCTGCTGCCAAAGAGCTCTTTAAGAATTTTTGCGTCACTTTAGTCAAATAAACTTTATGTTTCACCAGGGCTGCAGCTCAGTTTTCCTCCTAGAGGTGGGTGGCTACATTTGTCTGTTCCGATCAGTTCAAAAGAGCAGGATCCAATGAAGGCAGAGTGAGAAGGAGGGAAGCTTTTCTGGTAAGGGACAGTTTTGCTGGCCATTATTACAGCTATAAATAACAGGATGATGATGATAATGACAACAAATGAGACGGAAGTTTTGAGGGAGTCGATAAATTACAAGTTTGCAGGTGGGTTTGTAGATTACAGAAAGACAGGAAGGACTGGGATATTATCGCAATAAAAGGGCTTGGAAAGAATAATTTCTATTGCTGAACATTTACATTATTTTAATAAAGAAATAAGATTTAGTTTTGTTTTAAAGCGTTAAGCACAAGTTCTTTAAAAAGCGGTTTGCTGCTTCAGTAAGCTCAACAAGTAATTTCCTTTCTTGCTATTACTCCTCAAAATATCTCACTCAACCTCTGACACATGCTTTTTTCTCCAGTGTCTTTCACCCAGGATTTATTTGTTCCTAGACGTTGCAATTTCTTTAGAAAAAAGAATGGGGACAAATAAGAATAGCTAACTGTTAGAGCAACAGCAGTTCAGCAGTTTTGCTGTAAGTGGTTGCCAGTTTTCAGGGACTTGTTCCAAACAATTGAAAGGAAAACAAAGTCTGAAAACTGAAAAGTACAGGGATATAATTAGCACTTCCCTTTTTCTGTCTTCTGGTCCCTTAATGATAGCAGCAGTCAGTCAGCAGTGTGTCATTTGCACCACCTCAAGGGTAGCTCAGGTATTGCAATTGCAAACATTAAGGAGACTTGTATTGAAAGTAACTTTTGCTTTCCCATTAATTCTTGTGGGCAGTACATTAAAAATGTTTTGTCAAATGAAGCTTGTTGCCTTCAGTGGTATTAGAGATTCATAGTTCTTTTAGCGAAAATAGCAACATCTAACTCGTCTTCTCTCTGCCACGCTGATTTCCCCTCCCGTACTCTTCTTTCCAAAATAAACGGTTTTGGTCATGTTAATCTCTGCTTAGCTGCGGACAAGAAAAAAACCCACAAGTTAGTGTCCTTGCATATTATAATCATTCACAGCCTTCCCCCCGTTTTGTCCTATTCTGAAGGGTTTGCAAGGACAGATACTATCATGCCTCACTCACTAAACCTTTACGAAGATCCAAGTACAGTGTTTTAATGCGTAAGTATCTGTCTGTGGATTAGACCCCGTGCTTCGGATAGCAGGCTTTTTCTTTCTTGGGAGGTGGGAGGACAGATGGTACCAGGAATCTGCGCCTTCCCTTTCACACAGATTTCCAGCTCACCACTGCTGGGAGACTGGAATGGATTTTCCAGACTCACTTTTTCTACTCGTACAAGAAACAAAATCTCTCTACTTTGGGTCCCTCTGCTTTTACATAATTATATTGGGGTGTGGGGTTTTGTTTGTTTTTTTAAGTTTTAGAGGCAGCATGACCTTTGTCTGAGGTTTTTCCTCCATCTTAGTCTCTGCTTGGAGTAGGTTCTTTTAACAAGTCCTGAAACACTATTGCATACCATTCATCTTGGTCAACACTTGTGGTTAAATTACTTTCATCTGCTCGCATCAGCAGCACCCAGTGTCAGTATTTAGTGATTTTTTGTAGGGCATACAAAGCTGTAATGTGAAAAACGGCATATTAAGAACACAAAACCACCTTTCATGACTTATCCTGGCCTTTTTGTTCAGTTGATTTTTTTTTTTCCATTAATGTCTTCTGCAGCAGCATGGGGTTTTTTTTTAATTTCTTGCCAAACAGCCTGGAGCCTTTGGGGCATAATATAAATAACAGACTTGAGATTTCAGGCAGACACCTCAACTTATTTACCCCATACGTGAAAAACTTCCAGGTCCAGTACCGAGTCAGCTCCAGAATTTCATGAAGTCTTCTGTGCATTGGTGGGCAAAATCCTAATGATTTAGGGAAAGTATGAAAAAAACAAGAGGAAGAAAATGGGCTTTACACAGGACGTAACTTCAAACACTTCCACAGTTCTCCACAGATAAAGCAGCTGTAGATTCCAGTTACCAATGCCAGCACAAAAATGGGAAGCATCAATCAAATTACCTAATAACAGTAATACCCGCTGTACTAAGAAGAGATTAGTAATAATTCTGCAAGCATGTCTCTGATTCACTGCCAATAAGAGGATAGGAACAATCTTCCAAACAACACAAAACAAACAACTCCTAAAATACTTATTTGTTCCCATCTTTTGCTTAGTTAGGAATCCGACTACATTTAAAATCTATTAAGATTAGCTTTGGGATAAAACAAATTCTGATTGTCCTTCCCTGCTATTTTCTAAGCTGACTGTGCTGGGATATACATCTGGGAGTTAGATGGGTTTTGGAGAGGTTTCGCTATTCCCACTACAACTGTTTTGAGAGAGCATTCGGGTGGAGAAACCTGACTCTGAAAACCTACAAACTGCCAGTACACATAACCCCTCCTCCTGCCTCTTCCTTTTCTTAGTTAGCAGTAGTTATTATTTTCTGACTTTTGATTGAATCTGAGATTGTTGACTTCTACAACATTATCTGGCAATATTTTCTCCCTGTCAGAGGAACTGTCTTTGAATTATCCCATGAAAACTACATGGTTTTGTTGGCAAACTCGAAAAGGAAACTGTTAGTTGGCTGGTTCCTCAGCAATCCAAAAGTCTTTTTAAAGATTTGCAAAGGATATAAACCAAAGAAAGAAACAGCACTGAAACAGAGGGGATAAGTTAGTTTTGGTTTTTTATTCTAACCTAACCATCTTTATCAGTTGGATGCTAATTTTGTAATCTGGGTTTACAGTTCATAAGGCATAGAGCTTTCTTTGCTGAGATACTAAACCTGTAGCAAGCTAGGCCTATTCCCACATTATTTCCATTCCATCAGTTGGAAAGAGTTTAGTTTTTGATCATCTCTGAACCATTTCCTGCGAACTGACAGGAGTTAAGTAGTCTGTTCCTCGTTGACACGCTCCCATACTACCCTGCCAGAGAGGTGCTGGGCCAAGTGTGCTAATTCATTCTGTCATCTCCAGGCTGTGCTCTAACTTCCATGCACCTGAGAAGAGACTGACTTTCTTCTGGATCCAGCCGTGCCTCATGCTACGCAGGACACCAAGAACTTCCTCGGCCTCCGTATGGAGCATATGGCCTCTCAATCATCTGCTCAGCTGTCTCGATTCTTAATCCCCCCGGGCTGAGGGCTGCTGATCACATTAGGGATTTTTCCTTCAAGGCAAAAGGGCAGAGTGGTCCAGTAAACATCACATCAAGAGGAGCTGTAATGGGAAATCATTTTACACGTACTGATTTTACTCATGTTCCAAACTACTGTTTAAGCACAATCCCACTTGCCCTAAGATATGAGGGTCTGATTTAAGGATAACAGACAGCTACCTAGCAAGAGCACGCAGCTATTGATTCTTACCAGAGGCACAGGACTGGTTTTCATGGGCTGTTATCACACAGGTAGCAAAACAGAGAATATCCTACCTAATCCTGTGCCAGCCTTGAGTTCAAGAGTGTCGTTAGCATGAACCTTAGAACAGTTTGTTCAATTGCCCTTAGAGTCCTCAAAGTAGAAGAAATACAGCTCTCATTTCGATTGATCTATTTCCCCTCCTCTTCCCCATTCTTTCTTACAAGGAACTTACAAAATTGCTGGGCATAAAGGCAAAACTGTTTCTGCCAGATTGGCTTCATTTCCTATAATATGTTTTAGCCATGTGGATTTTCTGTGCTTATTTGAAGGAAAGGAAAATATACTACTGTATAAGCTGTCCAGGGAAATATCTGGGCAAGAGCTGCAGAGATAAGCACATGCTGGACAATACTTTTAAATACTCAAATTAACAAAAACTGGCTTGGAAACTGTTTTTAATTTGTCAAACTCAATCCTCGTCAGTGCTGCCACGGGCAACAAAAATGTTAGTCAGTTAAACTCCAGAGAAGCTGTTAACTCTCTTTGGCTGCTATCTATCCCCCTCTCAGATAGCATAAAGGAAGTAGAAGAACTGGTGTAATGTCATAAGCAGAAAGATTTTGAAAGACTAAAATACTGACCTTTTGGAAGAAAAACCAACCCCAAAACACATGCATTAGTCATAATCAAAATATTGTGCATAATACAACTTCCCAAGAGATTTGGCTTTGTTTCAGAGCCACCAGTGTTCAGCATCAAGTACAAGACTGTTTATTTGCCTTGATGCAAGTAACACAGCATGAGGTAGAGACTGTGCATCACAGACCCATAAAGCCAAAAGGGACCTCAAAAGATCATCTGGTCCATCCCTTTGCCAAAAGGAAGGATCAACTCTACCAATGCCATTTCTGACATGTTCTTCTGTAACCTGTTCTTAAAGATCTCTAACAATGGAGGCATCACACAACCTCAGGCAAGCTATTCCAGTTCTTCACTATTTTTATCACCAGAAAGCTTTCCCTAATCTCACTGAATCTTGCTGCAGTTGAAGCCCACGACTTTTCAATCAATTTATCATAAACAGTGGAAACAAAATTCCCTTCTCTAAAGGATCCATTTATGAATTAAAAGAACGTGATGTCTCCCCTTTTCTCTGACTAAACACCATGTTTCTTTCAGCCTTTTACTAGTCACAGTTTCAAGGCCTCTGATCATTCTTAACCACTCTTCTCTACGCTCATTTTGGTTTGCATCTTCCCTGAGGGGCAGTACCCTAAACTAGATACTGCACTCCAGCTCACTCCCCAACAGTCTTAGGCAGAGCTGGGTAACTTTACATATATTGCAGGCTATTTCTCTGTTTATACACACCAATATTACATTACTTTTTTCTACAAGAGTATGTGATCAACCATGACATTTTTATAGTTTTCTTTACACACCACTCAAACTTGGTTCACACTTGTTCTGCATGCTCTATTCCCATATCCAGTTACTCCTGGCTAGGCACTGTTCCTTATACAATATACATTTGCATGGGTTGATAGAGATCACATTTTGATAAGCACAGAGTATAAATCAGAAATGGTGGCAAAATATTTGACAATAAC